GGGAAAGAGGAAAAAAGATGGAAGGCTATTATTTTCTCACCTTCTTTGTCATTTGCTAAATGTGCATTAGTAATAAATACTAATTATAAATTGCATCATAATGGGTATCAAGTATTAATTGTCTTTCCATATATTTAGAATGTGTTGAATGATTTGGTTTCTCATGTTTTTATAAAATAATGCCAATAAAGGGGGAAAGTCATTGTATGAGAATAGGAAAAGAAGAGATAAAGAGATGTTGGAGCAGTGCTGGAAGTTCGGGTCGGTGGGCTGCCCGAAGCCTGAATTTTTTCAGGCTCGGGTGGGCAAGCCCATTTCCTGCCCGCCCAAGGTAGATTTTCGGGTTCAGGCTTGCGCAGCCCAAATTTTGCATTGACTATTTTGCCCGCCGCCGTCTAATCGCCGTTTACTGCCGTCTGTCGGAATTTTTTTGAATTTTTCCGACCATGCCAGAACTGGCCGAATTGCCCGACCCGAAAATTGCTCGAAAATTCTGTGTGCCCGAAGTGCCCGAAAAATGCCCGAACCTGCATGCTCGAATGCACGTAATGGCTACTTTTTTTGAATTTTGCCCGAATTCTACCCGAAAACCCGAGGTGCCTGAACTGCCTGAGGTGCCTGACTGCCCGAATTACCCGAAAACAGCTAGTTTTTTTAATTGTTGCCCGAATTCTGCCCGAAACCCGACCTGCTCGAATTACCAGAAAAACAGCTAGTTTTTTGAATTTTACCCGAAAACCTGAATTGCCCGAAATTGCCCGAGTGCCCGAATTTCATCAACAAGTGGCAGTGGCGGTAGCAGCTTCAACGAGCTTATGGCGTACCTCAGTGAAGGCTTAGTAGTCGGCAGTGCGGCAGAATCGTTTGACTTAGTTCAATGGTGGAGGGCACGAGCATTAACTTGGCTAATCCTAACTCGATTGGCAATGGATATATTTTCGATCTCGGTCTCCACTGTTTCATCCGAACAAGCCTTCAGTACAACATGAAGAATACTTGAGGAACGCCGGAATGCATTGCAAAGGGATATTGTTGAAGCCTTGGTTTGCATTAAGGATTGGGATCGGGCCGATCAACGTCTACAAGATACAATTTCACTGGCAAGCCAAGAATGGATCGATGAATTTAATCGATTAACATTTAATTTTGAAGACGATCCCTCTGCTTCAAATTAAATTATAAATTTGTAATTTGTAAATATGTATTTACTTTTTACATTGTATTTGTAATTTAATAAACAATGTAAGTTTGTACAATTTGTAATTCGTCACAAAATGATTGCACTCTTTTTTCCTTGCCAAGTTTTTATCCCAATTGAGTTTTTCTTAGTAAGATTTTTAACGAAGCAATCATGAATTACAAATTTAAAAATTAATAAAGAAATAATTTTTTTATATAGTTCGTGTGTTCATTTCAAATTGTAATATATATATATATATATATAAATTTTAACACAAAATAACTTAATATTAAAAAAAAGTTTAAATAATTCGGGCAATTCGGGCGGGCTCGGGCCGCCTAATACAAGCCTGCGGCCCGTTCAAGGTGAAATTCAGGCTCGGGCTGGCGGCTCGGGCTCAGGCAGAAACTCGAGCTTTTCGGGCGGTCACGGGCGGCCCGTCCAAAGTTCCAGCACTACGTTGGAGTAGCTACAGAGGAGAACGGATACATGATTCAAAAATTTTAATGGAACAAAGTAAATACAGTGAGAAGCAAGAGAAGACTCCCGTTTGGTTTGAGGATTCGTTCTCTGATTTGAATCATGGTTTATGATTCGCTACAGTATTTTCTCTCACAAAAAACACACGTAAATCGAAAATGATTCTAACCTCATGATTTTAATCTACGAACCAAACGGGCTCTTGTGAGGGCAATTTTTAGACAAATTGTGGAGGACTGAACATGTAAAAATTGCTTATCATCATTACCATAATAGTGTGTGTGTGTATATATATAGATATATATATATATATTAACAAAAGAAACATTTTTGAAACTAAAATACAGTGAGGCAAATTACATGTACGTGCATGTGAGTGAGCAGAGAATGGAACAAAAGGTCAATATGTAGGAATCAACGATTTACAAAGGAAAAGACATGGCAAATTTATATATGTAATTTCTTATATATTGTCTAAGAATAAGAAATAGTTTTTAGGGATTCTATGTCAATGAGAACAACAACATGTCACATTCAGTATCAGGCCCAATGATTAAAAATTTATGGATATGAGCTGTTAATGTTACCTCAAAGGCTGTAAATATATTTCCTGCCGTGCAATATCAAAGAAGTAGGTGCAGATAATAGTAAAGGATACATCAATATGAATATGAGGCATGAGATGGTGGTTAGCCTGAAAATTGCAAATAGATAAGTGAAAAAATGAAATAATAAATAAACAAAGCAAAAAAGGGGGTGGCGGGAAAGGAAAAGAAAAGAGCAAAAAAAAAAAAAATGTTAAAAGGATAGAGGACATGTGAAGAAAAGAGCAAGAATAAAACATGAATGTTAGAATATTTTTGTTTGGTTATTTTACAAAGTAATGATAAGTACAATAAAGTTTGAAGAGGAGAAATGTGATGACATTACTATGTACATTATGTTTTATGTTATTTAATGATCACATGTGATTGTTTTCATATTTATTTATAGTGTTTTGTACATATCATACATAGATGATCATTGCTATAGAGATGAAAGAATATGAGACTCTATCACCTTATAGTATTTTATTACATGTGTTTTAGAGATAAAAGACTGAATATGATTGAAGCAAGTATAAATAAAGAGAAAAAGAATAACAATAAAGATATAAAAGATTAGATAATAAAAAATGTGAGAAAATAAAGGTATATCAGTAGGTAAACAAATAAAGCATATAAAAAATTAGATAATAAAAAATGTGAGGACATAAAGGCATATCAGTAGGTAAGCAAATAAAGAAATAGAACGACAGAAGATATTCCTCATTTTTGAATTATGCAGAGTCTAGAGAAGAAATATAAGGTAACAATTGCACCTGCAAGCAACTTTAGTACTAGTAAAACCATACAGAATCTGAGTAACCATTTTCAAAGAGATGAAGATAACACAAGTCAACCATTTACGTAAAACGACAATTTTAAAGCATGATTGCATAACCATTTAAAAAAAGTAAAACTGAATGTATTACATTGTGAGGACCAATTATGGTGCCAGTCCATGAGCGCATGTAAATGTCATCTCCGTCGTCCATTCCATAGCTGACAGTGCCATCTCCAATGCCTTTTTCTCCCCGTTCCAGTCCCTCCAGCAGTCTAAAGTTCCGAGGGACTGCATCACTTAAACCATTTTAGATAATGAGTTAAACTGGAAAGAAATAGGCCAAGGTGAATAACTTATTTATTAGCCTCAAGATTACCCCGTTGAACTGGTTTAGTCTAACATTCCAAGAATTACAATCAACAAAGTCTTCTCACAATAGGCTGATATGTTCAGATTAGGGCTGAGAAAAATGACACGTATTTCGCGGGTTAAGGTTAAGAAAAAAGAGATTTAGGTCAGAATTAGGTCGACTTAAAATTGACACGAAAAATAAATGTCAATTTTGGGTTAAACCCACCTAACCCGAACACGACATGAAATTCATAAAAAACTAAAAAAAATGTATATTTTTCATTACATATTTTAAATTTTATTATGAACTTATAATATCAAAATAATTATACTTAAAATCTTATACTATTATTTACTTAATTTTGATGGATGTTAAGTTATGAAAAGATCAATCTTAATCAATTTATTAAAATAATAATCTAGCGGTTAAAACCATTTAAAAAAAAGTAACGGTTAAACCAGTACACTCTGAGGACAGGTCCCGCCGTAGATTCGTTGATGAGGTTTTTTGACCCACAGATCAAAGCGGACGAGGATGATTGGTCCGACACTGCAGTTATCATGTAGCGCCGCAACACGTTGCTTGAAACAAAAAAAAATATTTCTCATTTTCGGCTGTGGATGTATTGGTATATGTGCAGCCTCTGTTACTGTCGTTTCCTAGTCTCCAAGCACACTTCTTCTTCTTTCTTCTTCTTTCTTCTTCTTCTTCTCCTCTCTCTTTGTAAGTCTAATTGATTGATCGAGAATTTGGGGACTGGAATCGCAAACGACGACCCAAAAGAAACATAGCCGCGAAGAAACAAAAGGCCAAAAGTAAAAACGACTGCTGAATTCTAACTGGGTACTTATGGGCATTCCTTTTCCTTTCTTATTTCGTAGTTTTTATAATCTGTTTTTCATATTTCTACTTGGGATTTCTTATAGGTATTCTTTTACTAAAACTTGAGAGATGTTGGGCCTTTGTGTTGGTAATTGAAATTGCTCTTAGTTTTACGCGTTCCGTATGTTCGATGAAATTCCTTGGCACTGGTTTGAGCTATTTGGAAACATTTTGAGGTGGGAACACCACGATTGAACAAATGGGTCGCATTTGCTACCCATCTTGTTTGTTTGTTTTATTTTTTATTTTTTTTTATTATTATTTTTTTAATATTGTGCTAAGGTCTTCACGCGAGTGAGTTTATTGTTTTTTTGTTTTTTAATTTTTAATTCTAACCAATAACTTTTCTTGATTATTGTTTCCCTAAATTTAAGCTGCTTAATTGTTGTGATTTTGAGATTTCGAGTCTTAAACCGTATAACATGCCTGATCAAATATATGCTGTATGCAGTATATACCCTTTTGTAACTGCATTTGGTATATATTAGCATTGAGCCTTTAATGGTGTTGGATATGAGTTTTGGAGAATATTTATATTACAGCTTAAACTAGTGCACAGCTAAACAAAGAAGTTTTTTAATGGAACATGGAATTTGGATTTGCTATTCAATTTCCCGTGTATATCTAGGAATTTATTGTACCGTTTTTGAGATACCTTTAGTTCCTGCCTTACCCAGTTGCTGCGGGATCTCTGACGGAGGTGTAAGGCTCTTCCTAGTGGCTATCAGGACTGTTAAAAGCTTTATGCTCCATGCAAATATATGTTTGAATTAAATTTTTGATGTGTTCTGATGGGTTATCTTTCCTTTTGTCAAAGTGATTTCTTTTTTTCTCTTTGGGATTCCAGATGTCTTTGTATATTGGTAATCTATCAGCACGCACTCGCAAAGATGAACTTGAACGTGTTTTTCAAAGGTATGGACAATGCGATGTACGGCTGAAAGATGGATATGGTTTTGTGGTGTATGATTTCCCCCCAGATGCTGAGAGTGCTTTGAGTGCACTACGAGGTAGGAACATCCGTGGGCGGCAATTGACCATTTCATGGTCAAATAAGCAGCCTAGAACATTCCAAAGACATGCAAGAGATGCCAGATCCTATGAATCACACGGAAGGGACTCTTCTAGTAGAAAAAACTCAAATGATTGGCGGGAGCGGGATTTCAGATCAGGTTTTGAGCAACCAAATAATGATGGTGGAAGGCTTAATTCTGAGGATATGCTCGATGAAGGCAGAGACTACCATCAAGAAAATATGATCGATAATGATTACATTGGAGAAGAATATCGTGATTTAAGGCGAGATTTACCAAGAGATGATGGTGATGTTGGAACCAAGTTAGTGGACAATGGTAGATGGGGTGAGCAAGTTGATGATCTATTTGCAGATAAAGATGGCATGGCATTTGACCATTATGAACCTGACAAGGGTTATGACAGGAAAGATAGAGATGAAAATCGTTGGAGAGAAAGTTCTGGTGGTTCTGCACTTGGAAGTTCTCAAGATAATGTAGGGAGAGAACGAGATGGTGATAGAGTTCTGAAGCGTCCTAATCATCTGAAATTCCAACAAAATTGCTATGGTTGTGGGGCTTTGGGTCACAAGATGCGTGATTGTCCCAGGAAACATTCTTCTCGGAGGAAGTTCACAAGGTTTGAGCGTAGCCAAGATGACGATATTGAGAAAAGTAGAGGTGGTGGTGAGCTAGAAAGATTTCGGTCCAAGTCCCGGGGAAATATGCGATCTACTAGATTGAGGCACAAGAACGATAAGTGGACATCTGATTCAGGTCAGCTTCGAATGTCAATGAAGAATGGAAACTCTTCCGACACTGATAGGGTTCGAGGAAAAGAGCATGGAGTAAAGAAGAGAAGCAAGAGGGAAACTAGATCTCCTAAAAGACATAGTGCAAAGAAATCAAAGAGGTTAGCTTCACCATCTTTTCATTCTGAATACACTGCATCTAGATTACACTCGACTTCAAAATCCTCAAAGTCTCTGACAAGTTCCATTTCGCGATTTAGGTCAAGATCAGTATCTGCAGCAGGTTCCTTGTCTTCTACTTCAAGATCTCGCTCCAAATCACGCTATTCAGAGTCCAGGAGTTCCAAGTCAAGGTCCAGGTCAAGCTCCCCTACATCCTTGTCTTTGTCTGTTTCACTCGGCCGACCAGCATCCTCTCCTAGTAAGCCGCAGTTGAATCGTAAAGAATCTGTGGATAAAGGCACCACCCCAGAATCTAGAGACATTCAAGGTCAATACTCCGAAAACACAAAGGTTGCAACTGAAATGGCAGCAGTCAATGGTGGAAATGCAGTATCAGCCTCCGAAGTAGAAGATGACAAGGGGAAGAACCAGCATTTGCTGAGGGACGAGAATACCATGTCTAGGTCATCGCTTCATGTGATGAGTCCTGGAACCTCATTGCCTGAGATAGGCGCTATTGTTACTGAGCATTCGCCTCAAGAGGTTTCAAGAGATCGAACAAATTTTGATGCTTTGGCAATGGGCCATATGGCAAGACCAACAACTATGTCAAACTCCGAAACTCCTCCTGGTATCTGTTCTGACCACAAACCAAGCATATCCTTGGAGGAGATGTGCATGGCTTTAAAGCACTATGGCGTGGAAGTCCCTGACGAGAGTGAAAAACACACATCTTTAGAGGCTTTCTTTGGTTCCGCTCGCTTGTGGCCTTGGGAAAGCATCTACTACAGGAGGGTTAAAAAGGGTCCAATTTCAGTTGAGAACTATGCCAGACGGATTGCTCAAAATCAAGAATTTGGTATTGTTGACAAGTATATCAGAAGCAGTAGTGGATGGGGTGAAATTTATCTGGGCAACCCGTGATTTTGGGGAGTTTACGACACCTTTTCTTGCTTTAAACTAATCATATCGGTCAGGTTTCCAAGTAGAATTTTTGGTCACGTAGTTCTCATGCAAACATGTTTGATATGATTATAAAACTTATAATCTTATTTTTGCCCTTTTTTTTTTTTTTTTTTGTTGGCCAAGAAAAGCTCCAATGGCTCATTATTATGCAATATGCTTCGAGTACTTTTTCCCTTTAGAATCCCAAAAATACTCTTGAAGTTTTGGATATAGGCATGTTTATGTCTATTTTATTCCTACATGGAAAATAAAACATTATCCAATACGTTTCTTCCTTTATGACGTGTATCTAAACTCATAAACATATCTAAAATTTCAAACAGAACAATACTTGAATGATGATGCATATATCAGCAAAATGTTAGCCATTGTAAAGATTATTTCCTCCCAATTATTTAACAGATTTTTGGCGACATCTTTCCTTTTAGCCGCAAGTGAGTGAATGGACATGTGTAAAGGCTAATTTTTCGATTTATTAATATGAAGGATCCTTCTATGGTAGGGTGTCCTATCTGTAGTGTATATTTTTTATCATTAGATTTAATTAAAATTACGTCAAAATAAAAATTATGTAATAACAGGCAGTTTTTAATACACATATAATGACTGAAAAATAAAAACGTATCAATAATTCATTTTTATAAGTCACATGGGAGAAATCTCCATAAAACTAATGGGAAAAGCATCCATTTTTATCTTTTTATTGATTGTATATACACTTATTGTCTTTAGACAACAACCTACCGTTATTCAAAAACAACCTACCATACCATTATCCTATACTGCTGTTCCTTTGACGACTTCATGGTATTATACGAACATTTCTCTGCTGTTGAGACCCAGATAAGTATCTCAACTTTGAGACATACATACATATATGCCTACACACACACACACACACACATATATATATATATATATATATATATATATATATATATATTTATGTATATATGAGAAGGGCAAACAATTTGGAGCAATATTTGTAATGGTCCATCTTCCAAGTTGCAACCCCAACGCCCTATAAGCCCTCCAATTAGTGGAATGCAACTCTGCCTCATGTTTGTGGCCCCCCTCCCTTTTTTTTTTTTTTTTTTTACTTCATGTGTTGGTATGACTGTTCTTCACATTCTCATGGTTGCAACTGGTATCAGTCTCAGTCTTTCAGATGAAAAACATTGGCAGTGTTTGAAATTAGTTTTGTTTTTATTTTTTACGTTTTTCGAAAAAAAAATGAAAACGGAAAAGAAGCGGCGTTCGACACAATTAAAGATAAAAAATAAAAATAAAAATGATTTTTTAGTTTAGGGTAAAATGAGAGAGAAATGAAAAACGACTTTTAGCCGTTTTTTTTTTTTTTTTATTTCCGTTTTCTCATCTCTCGAGCACAGAGAGAGAGACATTACTTCTATTTTTATATTAAAAAACGCATTTTTAAAAATAATTAAAAAACAAAAATTACATCTGAGATTGAAAACATTTCTATTTCTATTTTCATATTAAAAAACAAAAATTATTTTAAAACGATTTATAAACGCACCCATTACTATTTAATTCTCTCTTTCTCTACCTAAATGATATAATGTTGTTGATAAGGTTGGAAAAATTTACTACAAAGTCATGCAAAGGATTGAATGATTGGCAATTCTAGAATACCGGATTCTTGTAAAGTGGCTCACTTGGACTTCGTATTCACGTTAGCACGCAATTCTGATGGCCCAAAAACTTGCACTAGAAAGTGCTAAATGCTATATGAAAAAGTGTGCGTATTCCGGAATTATCTTGTGATTTTGAATCCACCAGTAAGTTCTAATGAAGTGCACAACGTAAGACCGAAATGATACACTAACTAACGAGCACACTAAAGGCTTGTTTTTTAGAGTAAAATTTTTAAAAATTTTAAATTACAATTTTATTTAAGTCATGTTTGTTTGTAAAATTTGAGTTTGAATTTAAGTTTTAACTCAAATTTTAACTTGAGTTTAAGGCTAAAATTTGAGTTCCACTTTTCCCTTCAACTCAAGTTCTTAAACTCAAACTCAAGTTAATGAACAATATTTTTTCTATTCTTAAAAAGCGTCATAACTTTTTTATTTTAATTCTGATTGAGATGATTTTTTTTTCTATACATTCACAACAAATAGACGAATAAAATCCCACCCATATACCCTATTAAAATTTTTCATCACCATTGAGTTTTTATTAAAATACTATCTAAATACATATTCAAGTTTTGACCCACTCAAATATAAACTCAAATAGATTCTCAATTCAAATCATAACTAAAATGTGCACATCCAAACACAAACTCAAGTTACAACTTCAACTCAAATTCAACTCAAGATCTACACTCAAGTAACCGTAACTCAAAAATACAACCGAACAAATCCTAAGTCTTTAAGTAACACCTCTACAATCAATTGAAAACATTAAAAAAATGTTAGAATGGAGTTTAGAAGAGCTTTAATTATAACCTATATATTACAGTTTTGATTTTTAATTAGAAGCTATATATTATAGTTTTGATTTTTAATTAGAAGCTACATATAATAGTTTTGATTTGAATCTTTTATGATAGATCATCTAAATACTTATAGAAATAACTTTTGAACTCAATAAATTCTCCTAAATACATAAGCAATTATTGAATTACTACACCCTTCTAATAATTTTATTTTTCATTTTTTTCTTAATTTAGAAAACAACACTGTTATGAGTTATCTCCTAAGATTTTATTTAATTGTTATCCCCTAAATTTTTGCAAACATAATTTGCCATTTTTTAAAAATTGTTATCCCCTGTATTTTTACTTCAACCATCTATTTGTAGAAGGAATAATCTCAAACAAAATCCTCACTACAAGAAACAACGCTATTAGCGACGACAAAAAGTCGTTGTAACAAATTCAAAGTCATCGCAAATGAAGTTTGAGCGACCACTTGTCATCGCAAAACTGTTGCCGCAATTAATTCGTCGCAAAACTGTTGCCGCAATTAATTCGTCGCAAAAATAATTTTTGCGAAGACAAACAGTCGTCGCAATTATATTTGCGCCGACAATCATCACAAACGAGTTGCTGTATTTTTTTCGTTAGTTACATCGTTAAGATGACATGACATTGAGTATTTGTAACGACATTTTGTGAATTAAGTCGTCACAAAAGATGCAGATTTAGCTGACATGGCTTATATTTTTTGTGACCACATTTGTCGTCACAAATAATATTTTAATTTTTTATTTATTTTTTCTCATTTTACTAATTAATGTTGTATATTACTATATATTTAAACCCAATATTAAATATAATTCATGATATTATAATAATAAAAAAGAATTAAATAAAAAGAAATAAATAATAAAAAATAGAAAGAAAAATTATTATTGTAAAAAGTAATTAATAAAATAAAATGAAAATGTAATTATAGTAGAAATGTGCGGAAATAAAATTGTTACATTAATAAAAATCTAATCTCCTAAATTAGCAGCATCATTAGAATCATCGTCGTTATCATTAGAAGGATTCAGAGGCGGATGACCTAGACGGACATACGGCACAAGGGGAGTAACCACTGGGAAAGTCATGTTGGGGTGCATTTGAGTGATGAAATTCTGCATCATTCTGACGCTTTCGTACAACTGGAGGTTTTGCTAGTAACTCTGTTGCAAGTATTCTTCTACGTGTGGGTCAGAACGTGTCGTAGAAAATCTTATCGAGCGTGAGCCAGATGACGACGCATCCCCTCGATAAACTTTTTGTGGGAATGTGCGACCTACTCCAGTCTTGTGTCCTCTGCGGGTGCCCAAAAACTGCTCCATAATATCCTCCTCGTTAACTGCTCATGCTGCAGATGATCCAGAAGTAGCAGATTGTGTCTAGATCTGCGTTTCTCTTTCTCCCTCCATCCGATGCTACAAATATTATAAAAAAATTAATTAAATACATAATGTGATTTAAATAAAAAATATAATTAAACATTACGAGTATACTTACAAAAGTCTGCTTAGCATGAGGATTGACTCAAGTATCGCCATGACGATGCATGTCCCCCCAGTTATCGATGACAGACATCGGCTGTTGAGTCCCTGTGGTAGACTGTATAGTAGTTTAAATGTATATGAATATAGTGTAATCGATTACAAAATTAACATTTATATTGAATAAATTATTAACAAATACTTACTTTCTTCTCGCAATGTTGGGAGTACGACAACCGACCATGAAAACTCAACCACTTTTGGTTGCTACGATTAAGTTTATTGATTCCTGACTTTTTCTATTTATGATTACATTCAGCGTTAGTAAAATTAACCTTTATTATACATAATAAAACAACATATAAAAAAGATTCAATTACATGAAACTTGCTGGTCATGAATCTATCGTAGCAATGACCCTAGTGATATGGATTCCTTAGGTGTTTGGGAGGGTGGGCCCTAATTGCACTCTCATTTTCTGAACCACCAAGATCTTTGAAATAGTCATGGAGGTCATTTTTCCAATCCTTATAACATTTTGCAGCCTTCCTGTCGACCATAGACGTAATTATACCATCGTCGCGGTCATAATCGAGATTGAACCATTCCTGTAATACAATATAAACATGTTAAATGATTTTATTATATTGAAATTTAGATTAAATTAGAAAACAAAGAAGTTGAATAATTTATACCAGGAGGCACTGCTGAATCTCTCTATTATGCTAGATGTCCACGTCCTTTTAGGCATTGTGGAAAGGCTCACATAAATCTCTAACATGGATTCCAACGGCACTATCGAACCAGGTGCCATAGTTTTCAATTGCCTTCCAAGTACCTCCACGTTCGTCAAACATGGGGGCGATATTTCCTTCTTTTGCCACTCTAGCTACGATTTCATAACCCTTAGCCTTCCCTCGACCTCCACGACGTCGTCGAGGTGCGACATCAGGTGCTACAGAATGAAATATATTTAGTGATCATATAATACTGATGTAATTAATTTAACAAATTTATAATTATGTTCTAACATACCAGACTCACAGTGTGATGGCAACCTATAAGGATCGGGTGGAGGCTGTGCTCCCCCTGAAGAGCCATCACATGTAGCGACTGGGCCAGACATGATTGCCTGTTAAGAAGTCATCATAAACATTATTATCTTATTTACATAATTTTTATGTTATATGAATAATTATAATTA